TTCCTTGACTTCGACCCCTCGTGAGTACGTGGGAGAGACAAGGAACTGTGGGCTTGCCACAGGAGATGGTGAAATATAGAGAGAGTGGTGGTACACGCAGCATGAACGCTGTCCTAAGATGGCTGGTGGTGAAGTAGCACGCGCCTTGCGCGAGGACCGCGGTGTTCTCTACTTCATCGCTCATATTCTGCCGATGCCAGTCAGGCACGAGTGCCGAGATTAACCACGAGAGACTTGGTGGGTTGAGGAGCGAGATCTACTTGCAGCAGCGAGATCTACTTCAAACCAGAGTTCCGCCGCGTTGCAGGAGAGAGATCCACCGATCCACTTCAAACGAGAGTTCCGCCGCGTTAGCCGTGCTAGGTCCGCCTCCGCCCGCCGTCGGAAGCGTCGGAACTCGAGTGCGGGGTGTTGGTGACGTGTGTTCGTGAGCGTGGTCTGCTGGTGGTCTGTTGGTCGAATAGCCCAGCCATTTTCGGGTAGGCGAGAGTAGAATCGGGTACCCCTCCGGGGAGTGAGCAGCCAAGATCGGGTGCACCCGGTGGGAGTAGGGTCAGGGCCGGGTAGGGGCGGTCGTCGATCAATCAGATGGTGCCAGGAGGGCGCTGCCGACTGTGAAAAACAAGTGTACCCGACAATGGCCGGATTTGGGCCGGGTGTACCCGATTTTGGCCACTCCGCTTTGTTTATTTTCCCCGGGGCGTCGTATGTGCCGGGTTTTGAGACCACGGGCTCCCCATTTTTTGTGGACTATATATTGAGCTAATGTGAGAAACAACAACAACAACAATACGCGCCACACACAAAAAAACACAAACCACAACTACGAGCGCACACCGACTCGTGAGGGCAGCAGCAGTATTTCGAGGCAGTTTACCACGCAACTATTATACGTGATGTTAAGAGGGTATTCATGCTACATGTATGTATGTACGATGTGAAAATCCGACCCGATATCCCGCAGTTGGTCCGCAGTCGGCAAACATGGATAGGAAAGACGCCATGGATACGGTGTTGGGAGATTATCAAACGTTCCGAGGCTATTGGATGTTCTGCCGTGCGGTAAAATGGAGGTCGATTTCCGCTCGATTTCCGCCGTCCGTACGTGGACAAGAGTGGGTACAATTTGGACAAAAGTGGGTCAAAATACAGACACAAGTGGATACACGAAAAAATTAGTAGACGCGGATGAGTAAACCCACCACGATGTCGGACAGAAGTGGGCACTCTGGTGAGGCCTTGCGCGCCTCGGCGGTATTAGGGCCAAATGTGTGCCTGGAAGTGGGAAAAATCGATGCCCATGCTGTGTATGGTCCCTTGCTGTGTCGCCCAGGTGTCAAAATGGGGTTTTGAGTCGTTTGGGAGTCGCCTAAGGAGGGCGCGCGCGCTGGATTTTTGGGTACCCACTATTGTCCGAGAATGGCGTGGGTATACCCACTTTTGTCCATTTCCCTAACAAAAAATCCACATCTTCTAACTTCTTTGTTGGCGTCATCAAGGAAGAGGTGTTCGAAGGCCGGGGGCTCCTCGTTCGATGGGAGCACGACGCCGCCCACCAGTACACGGCTTTTTGCTGACGGCCATTCCCAAGGACGGCAGGACTAAAACGGGCGAACAGTTGGAAGAGTCCATGATCGCTTTGACTTTTCGGCCGCCCGAGCGTCGGTCCTTTACAAACAGCCAAGGCCGTGTGCGCGGGTTCATCCTGCATTTTGATACCCTTGAGGCCATGAACGCAACTGCACTGTCACTGCAGTCGTTGTACAGATATTCCTTCATCTTCAGGGGGATGCCCCACCGCATGCGACAAGTATCGTCGGTCAACATTGCGATAGGCTGACATCCGCTGTACGCTAACATCCGCTGTACGATGGCGCACCATGTTTCCCCCATAAGTCGAGATGCATAAGCATCATTCGCGTCAGTGAACGGGCGCAGCCAACCGGGGGTGGCTCTTCTTGCTTTTAGATACATCGCACACTTCGCAGTCACCTGGTTGAATGTTGGTGGTGCACTTTATGCCGCACATTGTAATTTCCCATCCTCCGGCGGTGCCAGACACCGGTATCGGTATCGGCACGAAACACTAGCGGAGAACAAGGCAAGACGAGATTCAAGTTGCCTTGGCACTTTGCACTGCTGTGTACCCCCGGGCACCCGTTCGCTTAGCTTCGTTCGAACCGGGAACTACTCCATGTACGTAACTCACCAAGAGAGACCTGCGAGAGCGGTGCTATAGGTACAGCCGTATCATGCGACGACAAAAGGTGATATGATGATGCCAGCTTCCCCTTCCACCGCGGCCACCCAAAACTCTTCAAGCCCAGAGCCCTTGCACTCTCTACCCGTTGATCTCGTCTCCGCTCCGTATCTTTCGGGCCAGCTCTCAGCCTCTGTTGCTTGTTGTCTTGCCCGGACGCTGTGTGCAGCAGCAAAGCCGGTCTCTCACCCAACAAATGCGGCGGGAACTTACATGCCAAAATCCCATCTGTGGGTCCCCTTGGTTGGCGTTTGCGGTTTGCGGCCTAATAGCGCCCTCTGCTCTGGAGAGGAGGGCTGGCATGTGTTACATGCATGTACTTGGCGCGTTCTCTGTGTTTGAAATGTGATTCTGTAGGTTCTGTAGTTAGGTTCCGCAGGCCTTTTTGTATTACGGCAGGGCTTCCCATCTGCGGCATGCGGCAGATTCCCGGGCGCCCTGGGGTTTGAGCACCCTGATCGATAATTCGGGTGGCTCAGTTGTGTGCGATGGGAGTGTAGAGCAGCTCGGCCATGACGGGCCGTAGGGGTAGGTAAAGTCGTACAGACGTGTTGTATCCGTGTTGTCGTGTTGTATTAATCGGGGGCGTGCTCGTGCTCGTCAAACCATCACGGTATCGAGTCACGCCTTCATGCTTTCTCACACAACGAATCTCTCTGAATCCTCACCAAAAGCCTCTCACAACCAAGGAAAATATGTAGAAAGTTCCTGTTCCTCCGCATCTCATCATTGCAATATTCGTACGTACGTACATAACATCTCAACCATCATACTATGCTACGAGTATATCGAATAGCCTCCCTGCTCGTATGCATCGTCATGCTCCGGGAAAATATCAAAGTCATCCTTTTCATACCAGTTCATCCCAAAACACAATCAAAACCAAGAAAACGAAAATACATCAGACACGACAAAAGTATCCAAATAGCATACCAACACACGCTAATCACTCTCGCTCTCTTTTGAAAATTCTCAACTCAAACTCTTTTCATCCAGAAAAATATGACGAACGCCGTTCAAAGACGCCTTTCCTTTCACCGCCAATTCGTCACAATATCTCGGTGCGTCTCTAAATCCGCTTAGCTAGATATCCTACCATTACCAAGATGTTTGCAATCCTAAGACAAATTATTCCATTCATCCACCAACCCTTCGTCCGCAGGTAAAACGCGAACAAGTACTATCTCCCTGAAATACTCAAAATATATCATTAATGTTCGGTGAAGAAATGTCAGCAACGCCATTTCGTTTGAAAGAATATAACGTGCCCCCCTGCTCCGAGGATCCGCCCCCCTGCTTTGTGAAGGGGTCGGAGTCAAGCCGAAAAACAATACGAGAGGTGCCGAAAATCAAAACAGTACTTCTGATCCTCTCATCCACACTTCAATCAGATCTGAAAAACCAAACCCAAGCTCAAATCAAACAAAACAAACGCCAAATCTCAAACTAACTCAAATTCAAGATGAACCTCAATGCGCCTACTTTTCCAGCCATAAACCCCAGCGCATTGGACCACTGCCCCTGCCATTGTTTCTCCCCCGTGGATTTTCGCTCGCCTCCGCCGCGGTCGCCTTCTGTGCTCTTCGTCCGGCTGGCCGCGGCTGGAGCATCGTCAGCAAATCGTCCGCCTTCGTTGGGGGAGACCACAATTGTCGCTCCAGAAGGATTGACTCGGCAGCGGTGGAGGGCAGGTCGCGCGTTCGGAAGGGAAGATGGTGGCACAATCAGTTCCTTATAAAACAGCACTCCTGAGGAGAATCACATTCCACAACACTCCCCCCGGTTCTGCACAGGGGTGACTGCTGTACCAAAACAAAATAAAATACAGTTGGACATCCAAAATTTCTCTTCTGCTCACGCCGTGAAACTTCAAAGTTCGTGTTGTGCCACCGAAATGGTCTTGAGTGATCTCTTCGGAGGAACGCATTTGGTGGATCTTGCTCCGCGTCATGCTGAGTACTGCCTCTTATTGCTGTCCTCTACGATCTAGTCGGGAATTTAGTTTCTGGGTCAACCTCGCTTCTTGGCTGAGTGATGCCTCGGACTATTTTTCTCTGCGATCTAGTCGGAAAACGTCAGTCTTGGGTCAAGTCTCGCTTTTCGCCGAGGTCCTGCCACGCATATTGCTGTTCTCTCCAGCGAAATTCTACCCAACATCTCCTACAAACTTGCCATGAAATCCTACGTGCTTGCGTCAAGAATTCTGACTGTCCTTCAAATGCGTAATATGTCCACGCTTTGCTGTTGTGTCGGTGGTGACGTGGTAGTCCCACAAACAAAGTTACGCATCATTTTTTTTTTTTTTTTTACCGTACTGCTTTTGGTGTGATAAAAGCCCCTCATACTCTTTTCGTTGCACGATTGGCAACTAAACTCTTGGAAGCATAACATCCCCTCATACGTGCTGTTGGTGGCTTGATAACCCCTCACACGTTCAGTTATCTCGTTCGGGACAACCGTACTCTCTCTTTCATCCCAACATCACACATTTCGCAGAATTCCCAACACAGGAAACGATTCAGACACAAGACAAGACAAAAAAAACTTTCGGAACACAAAACAAGGCCATATTCGTCTTCGGACAGAGGACATGATCATTTCATCACGTGCCTGAGCGGGTCTGGGACCCTAGTAGCAGAAGTGGTGCTGCTGTAATGCGCTGAGCCGCCCCTCGGGGGCTCGCGCAATGGTCAGGGGGATGTCGTCCGCGGGCGGGGTCGATGGTTCTAGGCGCGCTCCCTGCTGCTGGCCTACCTCGTACTCTTCGCTCTCTCGCATGACTTTTATCTAACCCTCTCCTGCTTTCACCTTGCTGCTGACGTCCGGACTCCTGTTGACTTCGTCTGCTTCAAACCGCGCGCTCTTGTCGACGCTGCGGGAGCTATCTTGTTCTTCGATCCTGGCGTCCTCCGCTGCTTGGCGGGCTTCATCTTCGGGCCTCCGCTGCTTAGCGGGCCTCCGCTGCTTGGCGCGCTTCATCTTGGCGCCTGGTGGCCATCTTGACCCTGCTCTCGATCGCCGCAAAGCGATACTCCTAAACCAAGCTCGACCGCGAATCTCGTAGACGACGTGTCATAGGTAGCGTGATCGATAATTCGGGTGGCTCAGTTGTGTGCGATGGGAGTGTAGAGCAGCTCGGCCATGACGGGCCGTAGGGGTAGGTAAAGTCGTACAGACGTGTTGTATCCGTGTTGTCGTGTTGTCGTGTTGTATTAATCGGGGGCGTGCTCGTGCTCGTCAAACCATCACGGTATCGAGTCACGCCTTCATGCTTTCTCACACAACGAATCTCTCTGAATCCTCACCAAAAGCCTCTCACAACCAAGGAAAATATGTAGAAAGTTCCTGTTCCTCCGCATCTCATCATTGCAATATTCGTACGTACGTACATAACATCTCAACCATCATACTATGCTACGAGTATATCGAATACACCCCACCACACCTCTCTCTTATCTCCCAGGGTACGTGCGTGTGTGGAAATGGGCGGAAGCGCGGGGTGGTTGCTACTTGTGCTGGGTGCATGGCGCTGTCGTTGTTTGTTGTGGACTGCTGAGCAGTATATTTCGTTTGCACACCTCCTTTTCACTAGACACAGCAGTAGTCAAAATCCATCCGCAACCAGGAGTGGCGGAGTGGCGCACTGGTGCTCAGACCGAGGTTCTTCGAAGTTTCGTCGCGGCAATCCACAAAAAAAGCTTACAAAGCAAAGCGCACGCCCCCTACCGGAGCTCACTCTGTTCCCTGTTCACTGTCCAAGTAAACAACGATACCACATCAAGAGAATTGTGCAACATATTTCCTCATTTCCCTCTGAACCAAATTCCACGTTGGTTGTAGACTCACTCATGTCTACTGCAAGCGGTAAACACGCTTCCAGAATACAGAATGTTACCTTGCTACAGCAGTGCTTCGCTGCTGCTACCACCGCCGTAGCACAGGTCACAGGCAGGTTGTCGGTACCTTCTACTAGACCCCGAGTGGGGGGAGTTTTTTCCGCGCGCACGATCACAACAGCATAACCCATGCTGCGGAAAGTACCTGCAGTAGGCTGGGGCGTTCGCCCCCCGTGAACATATGTTGCTTTTGATTTGGTACACACCATCGTCTCGCTCACGCCGGAGAGCCTCGAAAAGATGATGTCCATCATCGTGCGCGTGGCCGGCCTGTTCGGACTGATGGTATCGGAGCCAAAGACGGAGATCATGTGCATGCTACCGAAAGGGCTGGGGGAACGCCCGTTCACGGTCAGCGCCGCTGGCCAGACGTACAAGCAGACAGATCGGTTTGTGTACCTCGGACGTACCATCTGCGCGGATGGGAAGGTCGACCGGGAGATCACGAGCCGATTCTGCCGAGCATGGAAGTGCTACCGCCGGAACAGCGCTTCGATGTACGANCGCCAGTTCCTGACACGGTGTATCGGCTGGAGCAAGCGGAAGCGCTCAGACCGACCCCTGTCCTACGCCCAGGCCCTCATCCAGGCCGGCTGCGAGGAAACCATCGAGGCCACCGTGCGCAAACGGAGGCTGTGTTTTGCGGGCTTCGTTATGCGCATGGAGGACAACCGCCTCCCCAAGCGCATGCTGCTGGGAGCGATGGCAGGGGGTACCGGACACCGGGGCGGACAGGAGGGCGACTGGGTGTGTCGCCTAGGAGAGGACCTCGTGGCGTTTGGCATGAAAGAGGAGAAGGAGGGG